AAAAAGTCGGGGAGCAAATTGCGCGGGGGGGGAGCGCTCCCCGCGTTCCCCGCCGGGTTCCCCGACGAACACTAGTTATGATCATTTTGCAGTTGTATTTCTACTTGAGTCTGCGATTTTATGTCTGATTTCGTTCAGTTTTCCACTCTTCCGGCATGAAAGTGATAATTTAGTGGTTTGCTTGCCAAAATCAACATTTTTTCATCGAGACGAGAGGAAACTGGGAAATACATGGAACGGTAGAATATGAATAAATGGTACTGTCTGTCTATCGGGTGTGCTGAGAGGTAACGAAGGGCCGGTATTAACTGACTATCTGCGTTGAAGAGGGCCAGCAGCGCAGAATCATATAAAATTGATGTGTTCATTGAGCATCACTTTGAGACTGCTCGTTGCATGCTGTCATCAGTGGTGATAGCATAATGAAGGCAGCAAAATGAGTTCGATGCATTCCTTGGGGAGCAAAAATTGAATATCGTTAAATATCAAAGCCATGAATTTGATGGTGAACTAACTAAGGTGATTGATCTAAGTGTACATCACCAAAACGCATCTTTTATCCTCTTCAAATCGAAATATTCTGACAATCAAGTCCCTCAATAAAAATCTTCAGAGCAATGTTCATTTGATGAAGAGTGATGCTCTTTGAAGCACGATCGAACCGCTTATAGTACAGATCAACTTTCATAATCACTGTCAAGCGGTTCTACTGCAAGCTGATTTCGACTATTGTGAATCTCGTATTTCATATCTCAAGATCAGCGCATTTATTTGAACGCTTTTCCGCATTTCGCGTCATTCTTGAGCTGACATTTGAATCTCAAAAATGTTAGCACCACATTGTCATCATTGTTATTGTTTTTTATCGGTGTTGTTGTGAAGACTATTATCATTGCTCGTAGTAATATAGTTATTATCCGTTTTGTTGTTGTCCCCATATTTCACCTCTCGAGGATATCAGTTTTGATCTTACTGATAAAAATGCGTAGGTGACGATTCCATATTTGGTGAATTTCATTCGTTTTGCACTGTAATTTGTAATCCTCATAAAAATTTCTTTGACAGATCATTTTCAGTTTGCATTTTGTGCACAATCGTTTCATTATTATCATTACCTTGTTTTTATGCTGTATATATCATCATTTTGTTGAAAGAATTTAGAACTAAATACGTAATAAAAATTACGATTTCGAACTACATTTGCTTTTTTACGGTGTTTGACGTAAATGTATATTACACTCACATGAAAGTTCTTCAGTTCTACCATTTTTTGATAATCATCGTTCTGCTAGTGCTGCTGCATCTTCTCTCTTCCAACTAGCATTCACCTTCGGATTTTGTTCGTTCACTTTTCAGATCGTTCTCAAATTCATCGTTGATTTATCATCACATGCATTATCGTTCCGTTTTCTGCTTGTGCAGTCAAAGGTGTTTGAGTAGGTTTGTATTGCCAAATCTGTAAACGTAATCAATTTTGAAATAACATTTCTTTGGGTTATGTCCAAGGAAGCGTTGATCGATGTCGATGAAAGCAACTCTCGGCTCTATCTTATTCGGCTTTTACGGAGTCTTTTACCTTAATTAGGATTCATTTTCGTCCACAAATTAGATGATGACTGTCATGCAGTCGTTCGTATTTAGCATTCGATGATCTCAAATAGATGAGGCTAATGCAAACATGTATTTCTCATTCATTTCTAAAACTGATATAACTTTTTGAAAATTCGTGTGACCACATTAATTGAAGCAGTCCGTAAGGAGCGAATTTAATATTACTTCTCTGACCAACTTTCTATAAACTATGAATTGTGTCCATTCCGTTTTATCACAGTGATAATGTTGCATGTATTTCATGCTTCAGCTCTTCAATTTTCAAAAGCCAACGTCGTAATTGCATTATTAAACTAATGACAAACGTCTTTGTGTTATTAACTAATCGACGTCATGATATTGTGACAAATGACAAACGACAAGTGCTGTATGTATTCTTGTTCAATGTAAGAGTTGCTGTTTGAATCAAAGAAATTGACGCTCACTGGTTGTGGTAACTAATTATGTCTTTCATTTATGATTAGATTCGAATTGGAGTATTGATGACTACTGTGTCATTACTACATCTTGCGTTGCTCTCTGAAATTCTGTTAAAATTTATCAAATTGCGACTTTGATAGTGAACTTAATAACACAGATACAATTTCCAGACATTAGAATGACTTCGTTAAAATTAAATCAAATATTGCTTATCTCCGTATGTCATTCATACGTATTCATTTCTGATGCGTTCACTATTTCTCTTCTAGACTTCATCGAGTATCGGTTGCACATTTAGCAGAATCTGCAGTGTTGACAGTCGCAAAGTTTGGTAACCATATTGATGTTTAGTTTAAGCTCACCTTGTTTTGTTTCCAAAAAAAAGCTAGTTTGTTCATTTCAAATTGTTCTACACGTTCCTTCACTCAGCCATCCTTCTTTACGTTTTCAAAATGTTTCTGATCGAGTACTTCGCTTGCCTGAAGTAACAGTCTGTGAATTAGCTCAACGTACCGCTGTATCCAGCTGGAAGTCCTGAATTGATTTTTCTTGCATCCTTTCCCAAATACTTCCACTTCATTGCGTATCTTATTACATTCTTTCTATCATTGGACCAAGTTCTCTGCTAATTGTTCAAAATGATGAAAATACGCATATTGCAGTTGCGAAACAACCAGCAAATCAACCAAACACTGAAGACGGTAGTACCCCAACATGACTGTTACGGACATTGTCGTCGTTATGTATCGTAGCGAAATCAAGCAATAATGTTAAGCTATAACGTCCATTGAATTTGTATTCAGCACGTAACACAATGCATGAACGTCTGTACTTTTGGAAGATATATATGAACATGATTGGTTGTGAGAGGAGTGAGATACGTTCGCATTAGACAAATGAGTGAAGTGTAATGTTTGTCACATCAATATATCACCAGAAACAATCCTGATTTCAGGCTGACAATTATTGACGTTGCTACACCGTTCAATTTCCAATGAAATTTCCTCTTTGAACGGGATTGGAACTCATGATGAAAAATTTGTAGTGAGTCAATAGATCTTTAGACGAGAAATTGGTACATTGTGGGTTCACCGGGTGAACTTTTGCTTGAAACCAAATAGAGTGTTAATGCCAGTGCTAGACTTAATTAATTGACGCTAATTAGTCGGGTATTCATCGTTGAATTGAATCGATTGCTAGTCGTTTGCTGTTCTGGTTGGCATATTTACTTCGATTACTACCAAATTCTTGCAGTATGCCTATCTTACCTCTGTTTCATCATTCTCTTCACTACACATCCGCATCTAACTTTGATTCACATCAATCCAATTTTGTTTCGATAGTATTTCGAATCTTCCTATCTCTGTCGAGCATCAAGATGAGATAACAAAACCAGTTATACTAGGTGAGAAAACCTTGTATTTCCAGTAAAATCCGTGCACGAATCGTTTCAGACCATTTTGCTTAATATTGTCCTGTTGTTCTAGTTGAACTGACATATCCATGATGTAATTGATAACTGCTTAGGCATCCGAACGAAATTTCAGTTCGGTCGGAATTCGACCAAATCGACTTTTCAACTTCCGAAATTCGGTATTCCAACCAGGTATCAGAAATCATCGGCTGGAATCGATATCTTCCAAAAAAAAACCCGATCGAAGTTCGGTTTGTTACCATCGTTACTGCTTAGGGTCCATGAGCAGATCCGCATGAGTGGATGAATGAATTTAAGAAGTGATATTTCGTGTTTTATCACTCTGTCAAGCTACTATGTATACGCGTATGTATGTCTCTTATTACCCCGGTTCACTCACTTCACTCACATTCTGCTCAAAAGTGTTCAGTCAAAATCCTCATATCTGTATGCAACGCAGTTATTAATCGAAATTAATTGCATCGCAGTTCAAGTGTGAATTAAGTGTTAGGAAGTGATATTTCGTGTCAAGCTACTATGTATACTTAGGTGTTCCGAGCTTGTTTTGTGATCGATTTCGATTTTCTTGCGCCGTGTTTTATTTAATTCCGAGATTCAAGTGCTATGTCGGAGAATTGTTTGACTTCATTCTGCTAATATTGCTTATTGTGAGGAAACTTTCTTTCAGTAGTTGATGAAATCATTCTTTTTGTGTTGCTCTAGGCGGATGATTTCGTCGATGAATCTAATTATGCGATCACGTTTTGATAATTATTGTTTTGATCGTTGTTATTTTTTGATATGGTTGTCCAGCAATGGGAGAATTATTCAATTTCAGTTCAAGTGGTTCCACACTCAGTAGTGAAAGTTGGGCAGTGGGCAGTGGTGGGGCTGCGAGTTGCTCTGCAGCCTCAAGCAGTGGCATCGCTACAATGTCCTCCGATGAGCCCAATGCTGATCCTTTATTAACTGTAAGTTCAAGCGATTTAATTTATGACGACAGCGTGGTGTCTGACTCATTTCATTTGTTCTTCAGTGCACCTGGTTGACAGCAAACAAAAATCCAGATTTTCTATTAGCACTTTTTCATGCGGTCATATTCTCCGATCAGTTTCGAAGCACTGAACGATCGTCAATATGAATTTTCTGCTGACAGTGTTACTGATGATATCGTTGTGAATTTATTCGTTATTTTTGTTCGATTATAAACATTTTTTAACGACTGTCAAGCACAGCTTTGTACAGTGATGCGCAAGCTTGCTGATGTGCTGTCTCAGAGCAATGATAGTATTTTTGCATGTATTTCTGTTATTGATATCAGTTTCGTAGTGAATTTAATCACGATTTATAATTAGTTCATCGTATTTTCCATTGAGTTTTTCAAGCTGTGGGATTTGCAGAGTAGACAAGAGAAATTCTCCAACGATTCGATAAGAACTGCTCGGAGTGTACTGCGTAGAAATTTCTGTATAATTGCACTTAACCTGTTTTGCTATGTGACTTTTCTCGTTTTCGATGCTAATGATAAGTACTGAAGGCAAGTTTAAAGTGTCGGTGTCATTTGAAGAGGTGATTTGATTATTCAGAACGATGGTGCGTCGTCATCGTCAACGACAGTAACCGAAACGATTCTGATGCCGTCAACATCGAATAACTACCCGTCATTCACTAACAATACTCTTACTTCCGGTACAACTCAGCAATTCAGCACGGATAAATCCGCGTCTCCAATCGCAACTACAATCACAAACACATTCTCTTGGCCATCTCCCGCTGGTCACTCCCTCACTTCGGTTTCGTGCGTCTCCTCAACAAAACCATCAGATGTTATTTGTAAACCATGGCGTAATCTCGTTAGTCAAAATCGCAGACGATACAAAGGCGATCACTTTGATCTCGATCTGACATGTAAGTGATGTGACCACATTGAGTGAGTTCGCCGCTGTAAACGTTGTCATTACTTTACTCTTAGCTCCAGACTTGCAGCCAGCAACTACCTCGAGAAACTCACCTCTTTTTCATCTTCCTAACAAATCAGTGATGAGCTTAGAGATTACTGTTTGTTGAATCCCCTGCCTTCTTTTCAGTTTTTTCGATGAACTGATATCAAGGTCATAATGCATTTCGTATGATTTGTTCCTATTTGTATTATTTGCAAAAACACATCGTCGTAACGTCAAAAGCACCTTTAAATGCCAAACGATGATATCTCTATTAGACACCGTAACCTCGTGACAAATTTAATGCGTATGATAAGGTTTTCCTTCGATTTTACAATTCCATATAAAGTCTTATCTCTGAGTTTTTTTTTGTCTTCGGCACCTTCCAATGTCATTCTCCATTAGAATTTGATTTCATAATGTCTCTTTATTGAGTATCTCTTTTTTTTTTGCTGGAAAAATTCAGTTGCGTTATACGTCATCACTAACATTGATCATGTAAAATTTAAGCATTCATCGCAGTAGACCATCCATATTTGATTTGGGACGCTCATGTAATTTGCTCACACTTCAAACCTGAGCCTTCGTGTTCTTTTTCGATTTCATAAAAAATTTGCTTCGTCTTATCTTGACGACAACGTTTAAATTTTTGTTCGTTTGCATTTTTGTAGAATACAAATTTGCATTTTCTTCTCTGTTGCTAGTCAATCTGCAAACAAAATAAAATATAAATTTCGAGCTCACAAAGAATTGTTAGCGTTGTATAGTTTCATTTCCCTTTCATTTCCGATTATCAATTGAACTTTCAGTTCGTTCAATTCATTTGTTTTTTTTTATAATTCATTTGTTTTTTTCTTATGCATGAATAAGATAAATTAAGTGAAAATAGAATGCGCCTTCCTGAGAAGTCATCTTTGTCGCTGTAAGAACTGTTTCAAAGGCGGAATTGACTCTGTCTTGCATCCATCTCTCGTTAATTATGTAATCGAATTTTAGCGCACTCCATATCACGCAATCGGCAGTTAAATTTCGGAACTACTATAAATTCATTCGTGTTTTAAAGTTTGATTCCTTTTCTGAGTCTTGCTCCAAAAAGGACAATTTATATTGGTGTGTTCGTCGTCAATTCGAACAATCTTCTTTCACAAGCACAAAAATCTAACTCAGTTTTATTTCATTAAAGGGTTGTTGCAGTTATGCGAATGAATCGAATGTAATTCGTTAACAAATTGAAAAATCTATCTGCATTGTTTTTATCAGTTCCATGGACATAAAATGCGTATTGCCGGTTTTTAGATATAACCGATCGTATAATAGCGATGGGATTTCCAGCGCTTGATCAAGAGAAAATCTATCGTAATGATATGAAGGAGACTGTAAATTTCTTGGAACGTTATCATGCCAACCATTATATGGTTTTCAATTTGTGAGTTTTCTTTATTGCACATTTTGTCATTCAGTTCAATCAAATCGTAACCGAAATGAAGACGGTCTCAAATTTCACTGTTTAGTTCTCAACTAGCAGAACCCAATAAGAATTAGATTCAAGAGAATATCAGAATTGTGAATTGTGGTGAAGAAACAACTCTTCAGACGTGGTCATCATATCTACAACCCAAGTTATTTTCATAATCGTGTAATGATGTTCGAAATGAACGACCATCATCCGCCAAGACTTGAGTTAATGGCACCATTCTGTCGTGCGGTAATTTTCTAATCTCTTTTCAAACACTCCGTCCAAGATATGTTTGTGCTGTTTTTCCACTCCGATCTTATTATATTTGTGCAGTTTCGTATAGCATATCACAATCTTTCCACGCAGCTAACGATAGTAGCATAAGGAATCATCTCTCTTCATGAATGTCCAACGTCGGTTATAGTGGTACACGGTTTCTACACATATTGAGACCATCTCTAGGTCATATCGATAAATTTCAGGTACACGATTATTTGGCTGCGGATGATCGTAACGTAGTGGCAGTCCATTGTAAGGCGGGTAAAGGCCGTACCGGTGTGATGATATGCGCTTACCTCGTTTATATTAACTTTTACTTATCGCCCAGGCAGAACATGGATTATTACAGCATTGTACGCACTGTCAATAATAAGGTGATTGATTAATGTACTGATACTTTAATCTTCACCTCTTTCTCTCATCAAATATCATCAGCGCGAGCTATTGGTGGATTGTCAATAAACACTTGATCATTTGTTCTACAGTTCACGACATCCAGTTTGTGCATATGACATCGGGCACTCTTTCTCTTTATCTCCAATGCTGCTCAACCTGAGCAGAATTTTTTCAAGTCCAAGATCTATCATACGAAGATCACTGTCCTTCACTATCGATTACATTGCTTCTTCCTGCTGTTGTATTTTGTCTTATCCCCTCTCTCATCTGTGCGATATTGCCTTTTCACTATGCCTCTACCTTTCTATGATTTTTGCTCACGTTGAGCAAGGTGGAAGCTAAATAGAAAGAGTGCTCGAAATCGAATTTTATCAAATAAATGAATAAATTTCATTGAAGGGTGTAACAATTCCTTCTCAACGGCGTTACGTGTATTATTTTTCTCATCTGAGGAAACGAAATCTCAACTATATGCCATTACGCTCTGAGCTAATTGGCGTTTATTTTGAACGACCTCCATCGCTAAACGGTATGCATTCTTTCCACCTTATGACTTATCATTTAGTGTGTGTTGGTTATATACAATTCAAGTAGGTGAGCAATTTTCGATTCAGATTCGAAATTGTTTTTCCATTCTGTGAGCCATTAGAAGTGTTTAATTTGGTAGTTTTTATTGTTGGGATGAACATTATGGATCGCGTTGCTCCAAATAAACGACTTGGATTAAGGGCTTCTCTATGATGGTGCATTTCGATTGCGTGTAGCAAATGGTGATGTAGATGTTTTTATACCCGGACCGTTGAAATTGAGTGGTAAACGATTCGACGAGGAAGAACAGATCTGGAAACGTTTCTCATGTGGGGTCGGTGAAGATCAACACGACCCCTATAATCCACAGCCAGGCAGGGATTGCATTTCAAGGTGCTTGATTTCGAATTCGAAACATTTCGTTTCCATCGAAAAACGGCATGCTTCTTTCAGCGTTTCAGTTCTTTTTTTGCAGACGTTGTTACGGTTGGACTGTACCGTCAAATAAGCGTGTCTTCATCGAAGGTGATGTTCGTGTGGATCTCTACGCGAAAAAATGCGTTAAGGGTTTAAATTGGACATTGGTCAGTTCATTTTTCCTACATTTTCCATTTGTTATTCCGATAAATTTGTTTAAAATTTTTCTACTGCTCTCTTACTCAAGAAGTTTCTCTTTTTTTCCATCTTTCAAGAATTACATTGTTGACTGTTTCGTTTTTCTTACTGTTCAAAAATGTCCAATTTTATTTAAATATGTGATATCCACTCGAAGGTTCAAATGATTTCGTTAGTGCATTCGAAAAAATTTGATATTGCAGAAAGATCGTGAGAAATTGGGTCATATATGGTTCAATACTATGTTCACTTGCCCGGAGTTCTGTGGTGGTGCGTATATGCACGGTGATGAAGCTTATCCCTATCCCAAGGGAGGAAGTGAGTTTTCATCTTCTTCAGCATTTATTCGAATGTATCATGTTTTTTTTTTTGAACGTTAGCCTTGGAATCTATATATTTCACGGATTGCTTGAGAGGAACTCTTATTCAATTGTGATGGGAAGGGGAAGTGTTGGGGTTATTTTCTTCAAGGGGTTTTCAATGCGAGAATTTGTCCGGTCCTCGTACAGCCTGTATTTTTCACAACCCTTTGAATGTCTTGAGCTTATATTCATATTCGCTCATTGAGGATATTAATGTAACCGTTTTGAATTTTACCGCTCTTGTAAGAATGTTTTCATTTCAAGTTCATGTTTGCTAGTGAAGTTTTTTTTATTTTTATTGTTCATCTTCTCAGTTTCATTCTTTCTTTCCTCTTCTTACTGTTGCTGCTTTCTGTTGAATGATGTTAGAATTTTTTGTTGTTGTTTAATCATAGATGCGTAAAGATTTAACTTATATTTGATTCAGTGTGGGCAATAATCAAAAAAAATCCCTGTAAAAACTTGTGCACACATTTTCAAATCAACTCATTGTAGTGTCTTGGCGTATAGATGAAGTTGGTGAATAACAATAATAAGCAGTGAGAACGTTCCCGACTGTGAACTATTTCGTTGAATTTATTTAGCATTCTCCTTATTTATACTTGACATTGAAGTGATGAAAATATATCCTTTTAAAGGATAACTGTTTTGCAGCGAAGTGTTCTCATCACTCATTGAACAGTCCATGCAGCGTGGTGTTGTATATGCTTAAAAGTATCCATGTAAAAGACTAATCTCCAGCCAAGAATTCGTATTAGTATAAAAGTCTTGAACATAGCATATGGGTGTAAAAATTAAACATTGTTATAAATCGATAACTTTAATTTCAACTTCAGTGTGCTCCGTTTTCCAACGTGTCATGTATTGGGATTGATTCAATGAGAATGATATGAGTGAACGTTATGATTTGCCAATTTATAGCGACGATTGTTAATCGATGGCCCAAGGTGGCTGAGAAGAGTTCGTCATCAGGGCCACCGTCGCCATCATCTGATATCGAAAAGACCAGTACAAGTGCATTAGAAGAGGTTACAGAGATACAGTCAGGCGAGCAACACCATCAATGGAAGAGTAAACAGAAGAAGAGTCACAAAAGTAGATCATTACATTCGAGAAGAAGTATGTTTTCATCATTTGTTTTAACTAATACCACTTTTGCATTGCAGAAAACTCATCCGCCCAAAAAAGCCAGATATCCCAGCCGGGTTGTGAGATAAGCTTTTATTTTTTGTTCATAAAAGTAGGCCAGGACGGATTTCAGCGCATACATGTGTGTAAAGCAGAAAGGATGGATTTTAACGTATGTATTTTGAAAAGGCTAGAACGTATTTTAATGGTATACACTTATCTACAGTTAATGTAGTGGATGAGATACAAAGTGGATGTTGTGAGGAATGTGAGGACATGGAACTATTGCTATAGGGGGTGCGAGGACATCTTAAAATTTTCTAGCGGGTGCGGCGGAAACGGTTGAGAACCACTGTAATAAGCGATGTTGCAGAAGGTGATGATGATTTATTATTACCGTACTGTGATATAGAACATCCACCAGGAATGGATGCACACTGTCCTCAACACTGTCTACCTCTTATTTATCCCTGCGAACGTGGACGAAAACCGTTAGATTTTTGTCCTTTTGAATTTACATTTTCATTTGGTTTGTCTTGCACCGGCTTTGGATAATTGCAACCGGATTAGTTTCAGTTTTTGCATCGTAATGCTAGAGCACTTGAAGTTTCACTGAATGAAAGTAATCATTAATAGTTTTTGGTGATCTTAAACATTATTTATTTAGACCACGCGAAGGCATTAAGGAGATGCTACGTGATGCGCATCTCAAAGATATCATTGCCGATCATTACAATCAACGACGTCAGTTGATGACTGTTGGTGATCTGATTCCTAGAGCACCAATCGGTGAGATTCTCAACTCTTTTTGCTGAACTTAGCGTTCCCAAATGCTGTTCTAATTGCAATTGTTTTATTGAGATCGTTTGTAGAGGCATAACGAATGTAATTGATTTGTATTGAAGGACGACCAGATTGCAATGGACCCTACTGCTTAATGCGACAATCCGATGAACACGTTTTAGAATTTAGCGTTCTCGAAATCGATCGCGCATTCAAAAGTGACAAATTCGATGTCGGCACTAAGGTTAATATATGGATATCTCATTGTTAGCATCGCATTGATTCGTCGTCTTTCTTTCGAAATATTCGTTCACATTTTGTTGTGATTAATTCGGTATGGAGAAAAATGTCTTTGCTTCTCCATATTTTGAGAGATGTTCATAGTGATGTAAGTAATAATGCTGGTTATTGTCAGGTCTATATTGTGGTACGTTGTGTTAACGTCGATGATCCATCCGAAGCGGAACTTGCTGAGAAAGCCATCCAAAAAATTCATGAGGCTCAAGTGAAAATCGATGCTGCGAAAAAAGAGGAGGTTCGTTCATTTATGTTCAGTATGGATGTAACATGCTATCAACAGTGTAATAGTAATGATAATAGTAGTGATAGGACTAACAGCAACATCGAGGTATTTATTCGTTTACTGTATTGAAGTTGTAGATGCGACGTAAGAGTGGTACGGCACGAGGTTGTGATAACATCTCAGATAGTACTTCATCACAGTCATCGAGTTCGTTGTCTGGTGACGTGCTCAACGACCAGCCGTGGAGGGATGATCCACGTGTTGATGACCCTTTTTTGAGGCGTTACTTCTTCAAGCAGCGAAGGGATTCATTCTCGAAACACCCACCCGTTGATTACCGGTTACTGCTCACTTTTCGTTTCATTTTGAAGTTTTTATTGGCATATTATGAATATGCTACAAGTAAATGACTACAAAAGTTCATGCTTCTATGATTCTGAAATTGCTGTTCGATAGTTGTCGGCGGTTTGTTTAGTCTGGGGAAGTCGTATAAATATTCCAGTGCAAAGAGTCTCACATCCAGTTTTTTTAATCTTCAGGTGTCCTTTACAAGAGTCGAATCGTACCTCAACATTATTATCAAATCATAGCATATCGAGGGGGTATGAAAGGAAGGCGGCTCTACAACAACAATCCAATGGCGTTGCTAGTGACTCTTCACTGAATGTTGTTGAAAGTACGGTGCGTTGTATATTTCAATATGTTGTTGTTGATATCCAATTCGGTTGAGATTTTTCGGGAGATAAAATCTATATTTGGCTGTGGAATGTTTATGAATTATACTTGGTATGTATGTGGGGTTGAGAAGTGTCGAATCATGTGTGGTTATGGAATTCATCATCTGCTGAGATTATATCGCGCTTGGAATTGGAACTGCAATAAGCACTGCTATGTATTAATAAGCACTATATCAGTGCATTAATCATTGTATTTCAGAACTACTCTACTACGAAAATGTCTAGTGAGAACCTTTTGATGGATAATGCGTTTGAAGATTTCCGCGAAACTCAAGACGGTCGTTGGCTCGACGAATCCTCAGAGGTTGGTGTGAATGCAGTTATTTCCGAATATCTGCTGCTTTTCTTGAATCCGACTACCACTAAATTGTGAATCGAATTTGTCGGTGTCGTGCATCAAATCTCACTTTGCATCTTAGCTGTTCTAATTCATCTTGGTTTGACTCTTACTACATGGTATTTGACGTGTAAGTTTACAGTAAAATTGAGCTTCAGTTTATAACAATAACATAACGTTCTGATACTTGCTGTTAAAAAATTATTTGTGTTCGCTGCTTCGATCGTTGATTGTTTCGTTGTTTTTTTTTGCAGAGCGAGGACTGAGATGTGTCCGATAAATTCAGAAAGAAAAATGATAATAATAATGATTGGAGTTATCGAGATTCGTGCGGACATATATGGATGTTTCCATCTCTCTTTTCATTCACAAACGGTGTATACTAGTTCGGGTAAAATGCTTTTGAATAGATTGTTTTAAAATGGAATTTGAATTGCGTCTTCATTCGTTCGTTGTTGTTGGTATCGTTGTCTTATTGATTTGTTTACTGTGTGTTGATTTGAACATAAATCTCTTTTGTAATGGATTAGTCATAGTGTATTGATTGCGTTCCGAATGCTTCTGGTCGTCATCCTAAAATCCGAACGATAATGAAAACGACTGTCGATGGTTTACGGTTCTATGAAGATTTAGATGATTGTTTTTCCAAGAATGTTCGGTGTTCAGTACAAGAACTCTGTCTTCTGATCATAACTTTTTATGATGCTCGATTCTGCATGTGGAACTCATAAAAGTTTGCAGCCCATAAGTCTTTTAAGCTATATCACCTTCCCCTTTTCTCCTAATGAAGTTTGCTATGCAGTCCACATTATGGCCGGTTCAAACTTCGCAAGATCGTTGATATGACGTTCTTCTTCGAATACGTTTCCGCCTTTGTACTGTGACAAACAGTTGATAACTGCCACAGAGGAATAGATTATACAATATATCAAAATTATATGGTCTGTGCAGTCTGCCCATTTTGACGTCTTGTTTTCTGTTTTGTTGATTTGTAGTGTTTCATTTCCGTTTCTTCCTTTGATTTCGAAATCAGTGTTTACGTTTATTCTTTATAAGATTTGTTACTAACGCTTTTTGTCTGATTGGTCCTACTCGTGGGCTGATTTAGTCAAAATTTCGCACTAAGAGATCTCGAAATTAGGTTGTTTTTCTTTAAATGATGTTTCCTGAAGCGGAAATGTATCCTGAATTTTTGAATCGTTTCAATTTTTAAAATGGGATTGTTTCTGTTTGGTTTTTTTAGCAGTTTCGAAATTTAGTGAAATTTTAGCACATCATTCTAGAGAAACTTGACGCAGTAATTTCGAATGTTGTTCATTTCTTATGCTTGAAAGTATAGCACACTAAATATGTTATCACTTGTTGTGATACAGAATGAGAGAATGGTCCGACATGAATTAATTTTCAGAGTATCAAATGCGATGCATTCCTTTCTTCGGACTGCTCCCGAATCTATCTTAAAATGTTATTGAGAAATCTTTCTCGCGGAAAATTTCAAAGATTCAATTTGGAAGCTGTTAGCGCATTCAAATTTTCAGTGAACGTCTCGACGTCTGAAATTTGAAAGAGTTCGAAATTGTTGCAGTTTTGTGCTGTTCACTGTCTATGATATAATGCAGTTTTCAAGCCCACCCGTTCACCTAAAACCGTCAGATACTCAGCTGTAATCATGTCTCTCGTTCTCGATTTACCTCCCGGCTCTTTATTTTGCTAGTTTCTTAATTTTCTTTTCGCACACGAAGTAACATATTTCAAATTGATCTTATAATGTACATAGGTTTATTCACGTATGCTTGATAAAGTGTGTTCAGTATAGTGTTCGTTGTTCCTTTCATTTGAATTAGCCTAGTAAGGATTCATTTAATCAGAACGGATTTATCATTTATACACAACAGTTGGTAATTATCTGCCTCTGAATCTTTTGTTGTGATATTAGATTATTGTTGGTCGCATCCAGTAGAAAAATAGAAATGAAAATGGACGTATGTTCTGAATAGATCTGGTGATATGGATGCAAATGCTGGAAGCCGCTTTCGTTATGTTGATTATCAACTAGGCAAGTACTGATCAAAATTTGATTACGAAATTGTACGAATATTTTTTGTAACACCCTATCCGGTGGTTTTAAAAGTCCGTAACGTTCTGCAACGATTATTCACGTTTTACTGAACTACTCAATTGACGGTTACCGTTGCTTTATGATTGAATTAATAATACTGTTTCTTTATCGTTATCCATTCACGTATTCATTTATTTATTGATAATCTTATTCATGTTTATATATTCATATTTATACATAAATGTTTGATGTTATTTTCGTGCGTTTTGATGTTATTTGTTCTCTTGTTTTGTTCGCTGTGTTTGATGCTGTAATACAATAATATTGATAATTTCGTCGGAATCATAGATGTGGTCGGCATTCAACCTTTGACATACTTTTTTGCAGAAACTTTTCCTCAGTATGGACCACATGTCCAATCTTTTTGAGACGTAGAATTGAAAATCATCAAATTCGTTGCTTTTCTGCTGTTCTCTTATTGCCGACATTCTTGAATTATTATATTTTCGTTTGATTAATTCAGTTCTTTTTTATTCTTTTCATTCATGAAGTATTCTTGATGATCACTCAGATGTTCTTGAAATTTTCTTTATACGTAATAGCAGTTCCTTCATTGTGATTTACTGCACTGTCTGCTGCGGGTTTATTTGTTTTTGGTTCGTTTTTTGTTTCATTCTTACCTAATGTTCGACTTTATCAGTACCGTAATCGTGACCGAACGTTGTTCTGTTCCTTGCGTGAACTTAGAGTTGATGTTGTCGTGTATTATTCCATGCACTTGTTCACATCCATCTTTGTTTATATCTGATTGGCCCAAATGCAGTTTTAGGCATATTTTGAAAGCAAATTTCAATTTTGACTGATGAAAACTTATCATTTTCTATTTGTATTTACCGGCAATATTGGATTGTCTTTTTTGATTGGGTGAAACTCGATTGAAATTGTGTGCAACAGATAGTTTGTTTTGGAAGAGCGGCAAGTGGAATTTTACGAATGGCTGTAGTTTTGGATTATTCTTATTGATCCACTGATCCATCGGTTGTGCGAGTGAAGTGGCTTTCGAGAAATCTTATCGTTGATGGTAACACTTAACGAAAATTTAGCTCCGCTGCCAAGTCATCAACGTTAATTTATAGCTGATGATAAGCCTGCTATGAGTTCGATACTAGTTCTACGGAGAAGATTGGTTCCTGAACTTGTATTTTTTTACTACTAATGAACTATGTTTTTATCCGTGGTCAGATAGATCAATATCATTATCATTACAAAAATCAAAATTAAAATAAACGAATCAATTTGTTGTTGTGCGTTTGTGAATAAAAGATTTTAAGGTTGAAATTTGAGGTTGATGTATTCAAGCTCCCCGTCTTCTCAGCTTTGCCCGGGAACATATCAATATTTATACACAGTTAGATTGACCAGAATTTTTTCTTTCCAACGGTGAAAAAGTGCTTGGAAATTCCCAGTCCTTGGAATGATATAGCAATTTATGTGATCCTAAATAATAGAAATTTGAGGTTGATGTATTCAAGCTCCCCGTCTTCTCAGCTTTGCCCGGGAACATATCATATTTATATACAGGTAGATTGAGCAGAATCATTTCTTTCTAATAGTGAAAAGAACTGCTTGGAAATTCCCACTCCTTGGGAAGATATAGCAATTTATGTGATCCTAAATAATAGAAATTTGAGGTTGATGTATTCAAGCTCCCCGTCTTCTCAGCTTTGCCCGGGAACATATCAATATTTATACACGTTTAGATCGAGCAGAATTTTTTCTTTCTAATGGTAAAAAAACTGTTTGGAAATTTTCACTCCTTGGGAAGGTATAGCAATTTTTGTGATCCTAAATAATAGAAATTTGAGTTGTCTTGTTTTCGAACCAGTTTCACAGTTGACAGCTCGAAGGGGTAAATTTTAGTATATTCTATAAATTCTATGGTGAATTAAGAAGGATGATCTTCTGTGATACTTTGGAGATCAAGCATATAGGCTTAGGTTGTGCTCAATCAGTTCAGTTGTCGGGGCTACTTGTTGTATCCCGGCGAATTTAGATATCGAGAATTATTATTGCTTCCCGGCGTATTACCCAGCGCGTCATTGAATTTATAAGCGATGAATACAGGAACAAGTTCAGTACTGATAACGCATGTCAGATTTGATAATATCAGAATGAAACTATGGTGGCGAGAGTCATCTTCAGACTTAATGATGTAATGGTGAAGTTTATATGTTTTAATAGCTGATAAGCCTTTCCGAATTATTATTATTATCGCTCTATTTTTATCATTATTATCACTGACAATATGATACTTGTTAGCGACAGAAAGGGATTCTTTGTGGGTTAAGGTTAGTATCTCTATTCCAAAACTGTTCTATTCCAAGGAATTTGTAAGTTCTCAAACGAGGAACGCACGTAATAGAATAGATAAGAATAGGGCCGTTTTTAGAGAGGAATAGAACAGTTTTCAAATACTGGAATAGAAACAACACGTGTCGAAGGTGAGTTGGAGGTTGTTGGAATTGGCGTTGTCACTGTCGGAAGCTCTTAGAAACGTTAAAAATTAATAGAAAAACTGATACAAAATCGTGATGAAATGAATAATCATTGTGACGAAAAAATAGACTTAAGACTGACATAACAACAACAGAATCAGTGAATGAAATTCATTGAAACTTGAAATCAACTCTAGGAAAGGTTAGAGCGTTGATTGTTGCATCACACATTCCAGTTCTCAGTTTTGTACAAAACTGAGAAATCGAATGCGAAATAATTTGCTTTATCAAATTCCAAAGTCCGGGAATTTTTCAAAACATGAATCCCGGGACCGGGGTTAGAAAGTTAGGATTTCGGGATCTCGTGTAAACCGTAGTCGATGATGTATCATATCTGTATTATTATTGCGGATTTACATGCATTGATAGCGCAGAGGTAGTGTTGTTGAAATGCGCTCTGAGGGTGTGGTGTTCAAGATTCTTCGAATGCGTGAAGTTGATCTCTGGAGGCATTTATATTGGTAGCCAGAGGGCAGAGTAGCGCTATATTAGAGGCGTAGGATTTAACGTGTTTGTGGGTCATTGATGTGCTCACATACCCCGTGTCCTGCACACACTTTTTACCTCCACATCTCATTGTTCAAGGCAGAAAAACTTTCGGAGAGTTTGGAACTGATGAAATGGATTTAAGAAATGCTGCTTAAAAGGATCCATGTGGATGAAATTGTTGTCGAGTTTCACCAACAAGAATGACTCCATTGATACCTCTCTCGTGTAACGATCTCCTCGTGACAACGCGTAGTTTATCAGCGGACGATTCCTGCCTCGAAAGCACTGAATCGATTCAATGAACTCCGTCGTCACAATATATTCAATCCTCTATCATGCAATTCTTTTGTGTGTAACGCGATTCGTCCTAGAGTTCCCATGAATGAAATCCGATTTAGTAATTTCGGCAAATTACTCTTTATTTTATTCCATATTGGTTACTCTTCCCTGTTCATAATCATTTTAAGCATATCAAATTCCTCCTTAATTTGAACACCTAATTTTTCTCTTACCGTTATTAGCATGTTGCTCAACTACAAACCATAATGAACGTACACATCTGGCACTCTCTTTAGGTGTTGTTCGATGGTTGGGAGATGAAAATATAAAGCTGGACATTTTTGCTCAATCTAAGAGATACGGCGTTGCTATTAATATGTACAAACAAGCCAGTTTCCTTTCTTATTTAACCTCCAAATCTCGAAGAAAGAGCTCCATCCAAATGTACATGAGTCGAAAGCCAATTTCTTATTCCTTTTTGTATTGTATATTCGCTCTCATCACATTTATGTAGTGATTTGATCGCATTAACTATTTATTCGATCGCGATGTTATCATTTGCATCATTTTAGGAGTTGTTTTCCTTCGTATTTCTTTACTATCAATGATACATTCCCTTTTTTCATTCTCTAATAAAAAAACACAAACTTACAACTATGCAAACAACTTTTGGAGAGTATCAACGTGACAATGACAATTTTCCGATGCTTTTTGCATTCCGATAATATGCAAATACTCTCTCCGATCAATGTAGAATATTAATCGCATATTTTAGTTGCATTTAATTGTTGCGGCGAATGGATGAATTTCTCGAGAGCTGATTTCTTAATGCGAATTAAGAATGAACAGACATGATTCGGTGTCTACGACAATTTGGTTCGCGACAAACTGCCACTCTGACAATTTGCGAGTGCCTCATCATTGAGTAGCAAGCATGTGCCTCATCATTTTTGTCGGGGATTAGACTTGTCGCTAACGTATTTGTCGGTCACCCAGATCGGCATAGTTATAAAATTGAATTTTTAAAATTTATGATAAAGTGAATAAAAGTTATGTGTCTATTCTGGATGCCGAGTCTCTTTGAGAGCCTGGCGCTTCATCATCAAGACACTTAACTGTTTGGCTTATTTTGTTTGATATTCCGGGTTTATTTCGAAGCGTTCATCATTCGAGTTGCTTTGCGTTTTCGTGTCAGCTTTTTTGGAGGGCAGAGCGTGGATTCTGATCACTTATCTTGAATATTCAATGAATCTCGGACGAAATGCCGTAGTGATTTTACCAACCTGAAATACGACATTACTCGTTTTTTTTGAACAAATTAATTGTTTCGGTTGATCGCACGTCGCTCGATGGTTCAGTTATTGCCAGTTGCTGAGTTATTGGGCTCACAAACCTCACCTTTTGTTTGCTTTTAATGTCTCACCCCATAAAAATCATTGCTTCTGTAACTACATATTTCAGATCAAAAACTTCATTCAGAAAAACTCCTTATTTCTTGTTCACTCTGCATTCACTTCTACGCTGTTCGACTGATAGAGCCCTAGACTCGAGAAATGATTAGTGAAGTATTGCTGTCATATTAATAAGGGGTTATTCTATTTGTGAATTATTATTATAATGAATTTCATTGGTATTTATGATACGATTCCAAGTGAGAATGTTATGAAGTATGCAAAATGTAACACGTGTTGTTGTACGCAAATTCTGGTAACGGTCACAATCAATTAAGTGAATTGATTTCAGATTAGCAGATCGTGACAAAGTGATGGCTAGCAGTGAGTTTCTTATCTTTCTTGTTATCCAGTTCGTCCTTTGAATAATTTCTTGAGTGTATCCTTCGACCCTTATGAGGCGGCCGATTGATTTTTTCTTGGGAAACTATCGACGTTCTAATTCGAAGAAAGCTATTAGAATCTCACTAGGTTGTCCTGAACACTATCTTGTTAATATATAATTTAGTATAATATCTTGTGTTAACGGTAAATGTAGGTTGATTAAGCGACTGTAACAGCCACGCAGAGAATGATTCGCCAGTTGCAAGTACTTGGAATCAAATGCGATAACCATCCTTCAGTTCGTATCAGTTGCAGATTCAGGTAGAAACAACACAGGTCCAAGCAGCAGTAATAGCAGTAGGGGCACAAAGTCCTTATTATGCAAATATTATGCTAATAACGCATGCTGCAAAGGTAACAGATGTCCGTTCGCACATGATCGTACCGTGAAAGCCGATACCGTGTGTCGTTTTTACTTGCAGGGCTGTTGCACGTACGGCAACTCGTGCAGGTTTTTTTTTTTCGATTACTCCACTTCAATCTTGTGAAGATTAGGTGAAATGGTCAGGTCATTGGTTGCACTGTCGCTTATCCAGTTGCAAGTAACAGGCAAGCAAATCGTTTGCAAAATGCGGGGAAATTTATTGATTCCGATGTTTCATGCAGTTTTAAGAATTACTTTCTTTGGATTATATCCGTTTGTTATCAAATGGGAACAGTTGAACCACGAAAATAATTAGTGAATACATAAAGTAACGTTCATGCACTTATAAAAACGGGTGGATAGACATTGTCATTTCCTGGTGATTGTAATGATCTCGGCGCGTCGAAGAGATTGTTGAATGGGCAAAATATCTCTATGAGCCACTGGTACGTTTAAGCTTTGAAAAGACGGGGAAACTCATAATAGTGGAGATGACAGCTCAGGGGGACCTCGCTTGATCGTTCCACCGATTGCAATGGCTATGTGTTTTTTTTTGCAAAGTTTTGCGTGCGTTTTCTCCGTATCCGATTGAGATCCTTCCCAGAAAACTGCAAAGCAGATACTTTTCACCGGTTAACGCGTTCACCAGAATAGGTGTGTTTTCAGCTTCAGATTCTGTAGAAAAAAATTGTTCCTAACTTTTCACATGATTTTTATTGCAACATAAAATGAACTGGTAACTGATGAATAGCGCAGTGCTCATGTGGCACGAGATTTCATTAAATGTATAATTTTAGAAAATGAGAACAGAAGTTCAAATGCTGTTACGTTGCTTGATTTCAGGTACGATCATAAGAGACCACAATATTCTGAGGCCTCAGCCAGTAGTAGATCTTCTGGCAGTCAATCAAAAGAAAGTACGACTACAAGTTAATTTTCAAACGTTTTTTGGGAAAGTGATGTATTTGATTTCAAATTCGGAAATTATCAAATTAATTTTTGTGATTATTGATCGCAAGTATGTATGTATACAACATCAGAGTAGGTGTTGTGTCGTACAAAATGGTTTAGATAAGAACATATATTCTTATTATTCTGTAGAGCCCATTGAAAGAAAAAACATTTCCAGAGGCATCTCTAGGAGCTAAGTTACCGGAAGGTGCAGCAGCGAAATGTTCTGTAGCTCCAGAACACAAACTGTCGGCATCTGCAGCTGAATTTGTACCGTCATGGATGAAAGCACCACAAGTTGAACAAACTTATGCCAATGCGTCTGGGTGAGTTGGAATGCTCGTAAAGATTTTGTTCGTTTCACTGAACTCCTATTTTGGCGAAAACTTCATATAAACGCTATGTTCGTTATATTGTAGTTTTTTGCATTTTAAGGTAAATATTTTGTTGTGAAGTGTACTGGATTAAGAACTGTCTTCTTGTTTTTTTTAATTAGAGCATAGAAGAAACGTGGTGTTTCAGACTATCAAGTATTTGTCATGCTGAGAGAATGTCATTTTTGATTTGAAATTCATGCCACAAGATCTCAGTGCTGTACTTTATTGGGATAATGTTTTATTGATCATTCAGGTCAACCCCTGTCTTGCCACTCTGTCCGTATTTCGAGGCCGGAAATTGTGAGAAAGGTGATGAGTGTGAGTTTGTCCACGGAATGGTTTGTGATATGTGTAACTATGCGTGTCTGCATCCAGCAGACTCCGAGCAACGTGCACAGCACAAACGTGAATGTATGGCTGCACACGAGGCAGCTATGGAAGAGGCCTTCGCTGAGGCACGATCAGCGGATAAAGTGTGTGGAATCTGTATGGAATCAATCAGGTAAGCAGTTCATTATACTCGCTCTGTCATGCAAATCACATTAAACGTTTGCTTCAGAGAACGTGATGCGCGTTTCGGTATTTTGGAGGGGTGTCGTCACTGCTTCTGTTTGGAATGTATTCGCAAATGGCGTCGCAACCAGAGTGAAGATTTCGAGAAGGAGACAGTTCGCAGTTGTCCGGAGTGTCGTACACATTCGGATTTCGTTATACCTGGTACGACAGTTGCGTTTTTTGCATTACCTGAGGCTGTCGTGAAATGTCCGAACTGTATATTATCCACTTTGTCATCGATGACGTCATAGTTTTGAGCAAGTTTGGTATCTTTAGAATGTATGTGAGAGAATTGTGTATTCGAAACTTGCAGAATAATGTCATCAATTCCAGACTGTTTAATAGATTCTTGAATTTGAGGCACCACAAAATAAAAGTCACTTAAAATTCCATCAATATCACACTAAAATTATAAGATTTATTCCAGTACGTATCAACCAAATGAACTTGTTGCAGCAAAATATTGGGTAGAAGATGCGAATGATAAGAAGAAATTAATTGATGACTTTCGCGCGAATGCAAAACAGAAGAGGTGCAAATACATGAAGAAAGGGAATGTGGACGATTGTCCGTTTGGTAATAAGTGCTTCTATAAACATCAGCTACCGGACGGCACAGTTGTCGAAGGCAAGAGTCCCCGTCAACTGAGACGTAACGCAGCACCTCGGTTAATGTTTCATATTTGACCCGTTCACTATCACTAATTCATTGCTTCACTTGTTATTACCATATTTCGTGTCGATCAATCGGCCACTCATTCCTTTTTTGTTCAAGTTTTTTTTTTGAACACTAGCGAAGAGCTGACACATTCACTCAAATATTTGTTTGAATCTTCCTGATTAATATCTCAATTTCGCCGATAATCCTATTTAACATTTTTTGAAGTCACAAACAGCAAATAGTAAGTGCCGTCAAGTTTTGTCTGCAATAATTTGAATGTAAATACAAGATGGCGATAGCACTGAGTACAGTGATATTCTGAAGATATGACCGATTTGAGTAAAAGCGGAAAACATGTATCCCTCTCTAGAATAAAGCCTGAGCCTACTGTAAATAGAGGTTCCCTCTAAGCTGAATCGAATTATGTTATTTCGTTAAGGATTGTCACAAAATCCTGCAGCGAAGAGCCTGCAGAAATTGTAAGCCGTTCCCTCGAACAAAATTACTCCTTGAATAGAAGCCTGCTCTCGGGAGTGATAAAAAAAGAAATTTTAGACCATAACTGAAAGAATACGATAGATTGCTTATTCAAGAAGGGAGTATAAGCAGAAATCTCATCAATAGTAATGTATTGCCTTTTCAGTCGTCGACGACGTGCGAACGTGTTCGATCTTCTATCGCACGATTATGCAACCGCGCTCTTCTTAAGTTCGGATTCAGATTCCGATGATGAACTGTCTATTATATTCAACAACGTTCTATCGCAGGCGTTCGGCCTCTTTCAATAATCTTTTCCTTCACTCAACATTTCCTTTTCTTTCGGTCAATAACAGTTTTCATCCATTATGCAGTTATCTTTATTTTATCTTTTGCTCTTTTACTTATCAGGTTATCTGATTGTCCGCGCCATCCATATCCACAGACTCATTTAGGAATCTATTCAGCGGAACATTATTGTTAACGGTTCATTTTCTTTTTATTTCTCCCTCCTTGGTTCTATCTGAAGAGTTGATTTTATCGATTAAACAATCAAACAGATAATTCGTTGAATTATTCGCTCGTTGTGGCCCCTCACTGATCGTTATCAAAAGTAAATTTGATAGCGATTCTTTTGTTTCGTTTCGTTCATTTGTTTGTCGCACTTGTCTAGGAGATACTTTTTGTTTGTAGTTGAGAAATGTTCATTCGTTATTTCTAATTATTTATCATATTCTTTCGCTGCTTAACTTTTATCATTCAACATGCGATATTTCCTTGTGATTGGCGCATAGCTGATGGCTTGTTCTGTCCGTCAATGTTAGAAAGATGTTTTAAAAACAGCAAAATTCATTTTTGATAGTAATTCACCGTTTTCTGATACTGCTATGAGGAGAGTCTGGATTTATTGAGTTGAATAGATCGTAGTGAATGAAGGATCAGTTAATTAGAATTGAAGAAGATGACGGGGATACCGTTCACATTTTCACTCTCCAAAATCGGATAGTATGTTGACGGGGTTGAATCTGAAGGAACGAATCGAAAATTGATATGCTGGATTACTTCGATTATTTTTACTCGGAGGATAAATTTTGATAGTCGTTGATTTTTTCACTCCATTTTTGGCATCGATTTGTGCGTATTTAATTTTAGCTGGAAATTTGAAGCACTTTTCATCGGTTCTTGTTGGTTTCTGTGTTTTTTGGAGTATTTAGATCACTTGATTATAGATCGATGTAATCGAATCATTTTTTATGATTTTAATTAATTTCAAGTTGTTTATTCTTCTCTGTTCTGATGAAAGATATATAAATTTAATGGAATTGTTCGCTAAAATATTTTCATTGATTGTTGTGCGTGAAATTAATTGTAATTAGAATGACATTTATTCACTCATGTTCATTTACGTTAGTGGTACGAAAAGCTACGTTTTATTGTTCACTTTTGTGTTTCATGATTGCTGTAACGTTCAGCCTTCAGAGAAGAACATTGCAAACATTTGCAGAATCGGTCGAGAGTGTTAGATTCATAAATTGATGGTGCTCTATTAGATTCATAAATTCGTCTTTTGTGTTGGAGTCCATGTCAGTGTTTCAATGTGTAAAATGCTTGAATTTAATGCATTTCCGACATCATTTTTCTAGGAGTGTAAGTGAAATACCCAAAAATTCATATAGTTTAAGTAACATCAGTGATTAGTGAATTGGCGGTGATAACTTCCAAAAAATGTCGTGAAAAGTTGCTGTTTTAACGAGAGCATGGTTTTCTTTTTTCTGAACTTGCAATCTGGAAAGGATTCTATGCTTTTAATTTGAGTTGCAGACAGGTGAAACTTTTCTGTCAAGCGATTAGCTATGCGTGTGAGAGCTATGCCGGTTGGACGGTTGCGACAGATTAAAATTTTGCTCTTTCATGAAAAACTGGATTGATTTGTTCGTCGTTTTAGTGTTCAATTTATCTTTCAACTCGCTTGTATTTTGCATACATCCAAACTGGTTCGTTGCGCATCACATTGATGTTTTCAGTAGTGATAATATTTACTGTCGTGTGTTCATTACTATTATTATGATCACTACTGTATTCCTGCTAGAGATAAACTCAAAATAAAATGCTCATTTCCATTCTTTGCGTTCACGCCAATGAATTGCTTCGCGTTATCAGATCGTGTCAACCTCATCATCGATCCACTGGACTGGTTGTATTTTGTTGATTGGTTCACTTCTATTCTTGTATTCATTTGTATGTTATCATTCATTTTGGTCCAACCATTCATCAACTTTAGTCTGAAGACGTTTTACATCAGAATGCTAACTTGGGTTGATTGCCATCTCATGAGTTTCATTTTATTGTGTTGTGCGATGTGGAAATAAGTACGGCCCTTCGACAGCTCTACGCATTGAACACTGAAGTATTGTCATACACTGGGTGAATGTACAGTAAGGCGATCGCTTTGTAGTTGTGAATGTATGAACCGGTCTTGAACGTCCGGGAAAAAGCCCAAGAACTGATCGATATCGTACGTGAGCAAACGAATGCACCGATCGCGGTGTGCGTAGATACTGTCGCAACAATTCTTGGCTCGTTACTGACCGATTTACCAGCTGAAGAAGGACTACGCTCGATTCGGAACGCAATTCTGTCACCAAATGTTATCAATGTGGATGACTGCTATGATGCAAAACTGCTGAAAGCATTGATCATTGAATTGACGGATAACATCGAGGATAAACAGCAAGTATGTATGATTGCTTCTTTTGAACTCCTCTTATTTGATCTGCTTTTATTCACTCAGCAAAAGCAAAGCAATAGTTTCACTTCCGTATTCGAGACCTTAATATTTTCGGAATACAGCTGAAGGTCAGTGTTTAATGAGCGAGCAATTCGGGAACGGTCAGATGTTAGTGATAGCATAGCACTTTGTGAGGTAAGGATTTATTTGATTCATCAAGAGAATGTCTTGAAAAGATCTGATTTTGGGGAAAAGAGTGCATCTTAGAGTGAATAAGGCACTTTACTTTGCAGCAAAGCTGGACGATTCAAGATGATGAGCAAAATCTGATTAGTGCTTTGCAGCAGTTTTCATCTATTCTTGTGAGTGGCATTCATGATTGCTTATCATGCTCGTAACAGCTTTATGACTGACCGACGTTCTTACGTATTACTTTTAAACGGCGCGTCAGATTGAAATTATAAAGTTGTTTCAATGACCAAGAAGTTTGCTGTCAACAATTGGTCGGTATTATACAAGCAATCACTTTCTTCTGAAAAAAAGAGACAACTATTTTGGCAATATATTGAACAGTTATGAAAGATATGTGAAGGAAAATCAATCAGTATTGATTCACCAACTTCCCCAATTATTCCCTCATTTTGTGGTTTCCTCAAATTTCCAGCAAGAAAGGGAGGAGTGTGGACTTGCTCGCCTGAGCTGTTGGACTTGCTCGCAGTCAGTTCTGATCACAGATTACTTGCAGTCTTGTCAGTAGAGTAGTTTAAGTGAACTCATATCATTTCATTTTCATTCAACGAATTATTTCAGTTCTTGAGCAAACTGATTCTAATTGATTAAAATTTGAAGAAAAACGCGGATCGTCGAGTTTGCTTGAAACTATTGAGGCAGAGTGATTTCACTTTCGTGCAACGTCTTGTTTCATTGTATCAAATCGTGAGTTGAATTTGCTGCAGAGCTTTTTTCTAAAATATGAATCACATCTGTAACCTTTTATTTGGAGATGCTAAAATTTGCTGAAAATTGCTCACTCTGACCAATGTAGGTGGGTTGAATGGCCCAATGAATTATTTCGGAATTAATACTGATATTGGTATGGGAATGGTTGAAACACTGGAAGTGATTAGCATGAACCGAAGCGATAGTGCACACAGTTAAGGATCAACGTGGTAATGTCTCATTGAATGTGTTGCAAACGATACGTCAGTGTTGTGAGTTGGATAAAAGTATCGTATCCTTATTGCTTTGTTCCAACTTACCGGCCATCATTCTGGTCAATAACAACTTCAATGCTCCACTCACCGAGCTGCAAACGTCTTCAATTGAACTGCTTTCATCGCTGTTCTCAACCGATGAGAAACCGCCGTTTACACATTATGGTCTGTTGATTCTTTGTTCGTTTGCTTATTCCATTTATTAACTTTTTCAGAGTTGGGAACCGAAAGATTTTTTCTGTGGCCACTAACTAAACACTTTATCGGTGTCCGCCGAGGCTAAACGAACTCTAGGCTCTTTAATGAATTATTCGAAGTATCACCTTAGGAAATTGTTGAATACTCAAGTAAAGCGGTCTGGTAGCATGTTTCGTGCAAGATTCTATCAGCTGGTCCATCATACTCAGTTCATTCTTGCTGCCACACTTGACATTTAGCATCAGTTCAATCCCGTATCTGCGGATTAATCTTTTTCTTTCAGATTATTTCACTGTTGAATTTTTATCGAAAATGCTGTCGTTGCTGCAAGATTCAAATCAGTTAATCATGCGATTCATATTGAATTTCAATTTGCATTTTGATGAATCGGAGAATTTGATTGTTGAAGCGCTGAAGCAAAATGGTTGTTTGGCATTTGGACAGCTGCTTATCGACGAGCTAAATCGCCAACGTAACATGAATGGTATCACGTTTTTCTCATTCACTTTCAGCTGGTCTGCAATGCATTTTCGTTCAAATAGATTTTGTTGTGTATTCAAGAAGATTTCATTTATTCGCTAAAAGACATAAATTGGGATAGCGTTTAGGTACAACGTCATCTTGCAATACATTAACAGTGTCTTGCAGATTTAAGTGCAATAAAAATGGTTTTGGACGTGTTTCGCGCTCAACCGCAAATTGTCTCTACAACTTTCTACGATAATGATTTGAGGGTGTTGTGTGCCGTACTCTGTCAAGATCTTCTTGATACGGATATTCCTAAGGTTGGTTTATCACTTGCGGTAGTCAACGCTCACCACTCGTTGCTGTTTCCTTTAGCACTTTCGACGATTAGAGTTTCAAATGAAGCTCACTTTGAATCATTGAACCACTATCACTTGTGTAGGTGAACTAGTAGGCATTCATGTCAAGGAAGGTATGTTCATAAGCAGAAATGGTCCCATTTTGTTGCTGAATAGCTCCGTTTATTTCACATTCACGATAAAAAATTAGATTTTGTAAAGTAGAAATAGTTCGAACACGCTTGAATTACTGATTTTTGTAGAAAATAACGATGATTTTGGAAGTACTCGAACGACTGTGGTCGATTTCTCAGGGGCATCTGAATAATAGGCGAGAGATTCTGGATTCACTTCAAACGTTGCTTCTCTCAAAAGAACTTTCCGACCAGCATAAACGGCAAGCACAGACCATTATCGATAATCAGCTTCGGAATCAAAGTGAATCTGAATCTGAGCAAAATGTTATCATGATCTGATCAAAGCTGGATTCAAATTCGATTGCAGCGAATTCAAATTCGATTTCAAATTCGATTGCGTGATACTTTTTATATTGCGCTTAATTTATTTTCTCCTTTTGCTTCTTATATCTCATCTGTTCCAGTACTCTTCACTTCTCATCGGCTTCTGTGTTTAAGTCCAATTCGGTTTTCTGTGTCGATACAAAAAAATTCATTTACGAAAGCTTTGCTAAATTTCCATTTTGTTTCATTCCGTAACTAAGTTCTTTATTATACTGCTTTAACTTCATATTTTTAATACTCACTCTAATGTTCAATATTCTCATTATTTTACTATTTATATTACTCGCATCGACTATATCGATTGAGCGGTTTTTTGTTTATCTAGGCTAATAATACACGTTGGCTAGCCATAATAATAAGCTCTCATAAAATTTATTTGGATCGCGTTTATTAATTATTGATCAAGTAATCGATTTACCGGTTCATTCATCTGCCGTTATTGTAACCTAATCAATATTATTGCCACCGATTAGCACCATAATTCTTGCCGTTTTTGAATTTACTGTGATTGCTGTTCATTTGTATAATGCATATTTGGCGATTATTTCAACTTTCATGATATCCTTATTAGTATTCTTCTTTAAAATCAGTCATATTTTAATACATCGTTGTCTAGTCTTCTCACGTTCATTTCTTCATCTGAACTTTCACCTTGTGCTGGTATATATA